AATTAAAAAAGTTGTCTTGTTTTAATTTGATTTCTTATTTTATTTTAATTTTAAAAATCAAGAAAAATATTCGATGACTTCTTTAAGTCATTTTATAGCCATGTGAATTTTATTTTTATTTTATTTTATGTTCTTGACCTCTTCTGAAAATTGAAGATTAATTGTGAGATTTTGTTGAGTTTTGCTTGCTTAGATCACAAGTTAGGGTTCATTGACTAACCTCTCTTGACTTTTAAGTCAATTTCTATTTAGGTTAGGATAGTATGATATCTTAAGACCTTAGAATCAATTTTTATTAATTTTAGGAGTTGATTTGATATTTTTCCCAATTAGTTAAGCTAGGGTTCCCAATTAGAGGCTTATCTAAGCTAGACTAACTTGTGTAATTAAGTTTTCAACTTGAATATTGCTAATTTTGTCTTGAAATTGATGTTATTGACCTATTAATGTCTCGTGAGCCTTGAAATATTTTTTCTTGTTTTTACAAACCTTGTTTCTATTTTTGACTCAATCATCTTTCTCATGTATGCTTTTGTGCTCATTTGAATTAGAGGTAAAGGGAATGCACTTGTGCAACCCATGAGGGATCAATTAATTTCCTTTTTATCATCCTCACTATTGGTTTAGAGACTTGAGTTCATCGAATAACCATTCAAGCTCTCACAACTTACTTATTTTTGTCAATATTGTTTGATATTTATTTGTGACCATGGTTTAAGAGGTAACTTTTGTGCACCATTTTTTGTGTATCATTTGGATCCATTTTGATTTTACTCTTTTGTGATTCTGACCTTTTAAGTTTTTCTTGTTATCATACAAAGCTTCTTTGATCCTTGATTGGCATTTCTTTGCTCATTCAACATGGTGACAAGATAAGAGCCACATTTCATTAGTTTTTACCTAATTGATGTTTGTGTTTGCTTGAGGACTTTGAGTCCGATACTTGTGAACTTGAATTTTGATCTCAACCACTTTGTATCTCTTATTTCTTCACGCCTTTATGCTTCTTTCATTGACAAAGCATTGTCAATTCATCATGGACACTTTAGAAGCTATATACACATCTTTGGTTGTGTTTTTTAGTATCATTCTCTAATGATTGCCTCATGAGCTTTTGCTCCATGTCTCATTAAGGTTGCTTGATGTTATCTACTACCTATAGCATTTAAGAACTTTAATTTTGATCTATTTAGATCCCCTTTTCTTTTATGTATTAGAGACTACACTTTCAATATAATATCATTACACTTTAACATGTTAGATCAATAACATTGCTTAGAGTTCCTTTTAAGTTCATGATAAATGCTTTAGTAGGGATGTGATACTGTACTAATATATATAAGCATCACTCTTTATTTTCTCATTTGATCTTGATCACCCTTCATTGATTTTAGATAAGTGTTTCCCATCTTTTATGATGTTGACTATCAAGTCACGTGACTTTGCTATTGTGTTTGAAGTTTCACCTTCAATTTTGGTTGCTCATAAATCCTATCTTGCGTTGAATTATAACATAAGTCACACATGTATTAGTTATCCAATTAAGACCATTTTTTCATCTTTATCAATTACCTTAAACTTGTCCAAGTTTTGTTGCTTTTAAACCCTTAATCTTGTGTGCTTTTTTGTACAACCTTTCTCTTGTATTTAAGATATCCTTGAATATGATTTGCTATGGGTCTTTATCTACTGACCTTATATGCTTTAACATCATCTAACTTTGATCTTCATTTATCCACGCCTCATTAGTACTTCTCTTGCTTTTAGAGGTTTATTAGGGTTTAGTTTCGATTGGATTTTTTTTGTCAACTTTTATGTGTTTGTTGGTGTTGACCTATTAAGGTTAATTTTGGGTCTTAGGTGGGTGTTCTTCTTATGTGCAAGCTTCTGACTTCATTCTATCTTGACACATCATATCACTCTTGGTTAGTCACACACTTGTGCATACTTCGTTACACCTTTGTTATGGTGTGCTAGTTTGATTGCTTTGGTGTCTGTATCATGTTTCTCGCCTCCAATTAAGTTTCATCTTGTTTATATGATGCTTGTTATGTATATAACATGTATAGATCATAACTATAGTGGTTTCTTTATACCATGCCTCTTTGATTGCTCGTGATTGACTTCTTGAGCTTGTCATTGCTTCTTTAAGTTTGACTGTGAAGTTTTCATACCTTATGATATTTTGTCATCATTTCTCATTACATTGATGTATATCATCTATGCTTTAGTGTTTCATCACTTTGTCTTATTGCTACTAACTTGTATGTTCAGTGTGCAACGTACTCTGAGAAAAGCTTTCAATGTTGACTTGACGGCTTTGTGTTCCACTTTATTTGTGGGACATGACTGTTATATTTGCACTATTGTGTGATTTGTCTGTTTGTATTGCCTTGCAGGATGTGTATGTGGTTGTGTCAGCCACATACCACTTGTGATTTATTTTCACTAAGGCTTGATGTTTATGTCTAACGACACGACTTCTGACTTGTTTCTTTGTTGATGCTAGCTTGTTCGAATATCTCTGGGTTTCGTTACTGTTTAGTTACTTTATTGAAAACATATATCCTTTTGGTACTTTCTCATCTAATTTACTCTTTCCGCATTTTACTGCTTACTTAGAATTGGGAGTCCGTGTCACTTGGCAGAAAATTCTGGAAGTCCTCATTAGGAGGCCATGGTTGTGATTGTTTACTTGTTAAGCTTGCATAGCGGGATGATGGTTTTAGGTCCTTTTATGGAAACCATTCCTAAGTCCTCATGAGTAGGCAAGTGGAAAGAATTAGTAATCAACCCCTACAGTCTCTCGTTCGTGTCGCTCCTATGCTCACTTTTTACAAGTAGATGCTCTTAACATGTGCCCAAGATCCGAATGAGTCTAAGTCTTATTAAGGCAAGTGAAAAGGGTTCCTGCAATCGGGCCCCCGCATCTTCTTTAGCTCGTGGTGACCGACATTGATGCTAGGTGTATACATACACCTTATCTTTTTCCCCCTGATCCTCTTTCCCTGGTAATTGATACCGCGGTTAAGAACCTATTATATTTCCACAGTTTGATGGCTTGGTTGACTCGGGTGATTCACTCTCCTTGAATATGGCTTGACCCTTGGTCTGATGTTGGGTTGCTTGTCTATGGCGGGACCTACCCTTTACTACTTGGTATTTTCCTTGTAGGTGTTTGTTATTCGAGTGAAGCTCGAGATTTTATTTGTTCAGATGTTTTTCCATCTGTTTGTTTGATTCTTGCCACAGGATATGTGATGTTTTACCATCTCCCTTTGGATGTTTCGTCATCCATTATCACACTTTCTCTTATGACAGTACGACTGTTCTTGCGTCTCTCTTATGAGATATTTACCATGCTCCTTTAGGATTGCTCATTTAGGATAGTCCTCGAGCTAGACATTAGGATGATTATCCATGTATGTTCACTTAGGTAGATATTCCCCTTCATCCTTGACGTAGGGCCATCCTTGTATGATCACATTAGGACTAGAGATTAGGATAGTCTCCCCTAGTTGTTTTTCTTTTCTTTTGCATATTTGCATTTAAAACTAAAACTTCTTTTTCTTGGCAAATGTATAAAACATGCTAACTATACAAAAATCCTTTTCATGGTAAAAACACCAACTATTTCTTCTCTTTTCGCCATTTGGCTTTTCTCTTCTAAGAGTATGTTGACTCCTTTCCACTACAGTGTGTGAGTCTCCAATGGTCGAGCGACGGTGGAATGATTGAATTTAATATTGTTCATCTAAAAAATACAAACAAACATAAATATGTGAGTCGAACTACGGCTGCTCTAATTCCTTAAAAGGGATACGTATGCGGAGGCTTTTGTGGGGCCTAATCGAGTATATCTTTGTAAATATTTCTTTCTTTTCCCCACACTTTTACTTTCATGCATTCCCTATTTCTTTTGCTTTTTAGCCTTAGATTTAGATCTCTACACCCTTTAGATTAGACAACAAGAGTGGATACTGTGGAGTACCACATATGTGTGGGGTGCTAATATCTTTCTCTTGTGTAACCGACTCCCTTACCCGATCTCTACGATCGCAAGACCGTGATTTCATCCCTTCAGGTTTACTCGATGTTCACCTTTCCCTTTCGATGGGACAAAAACATTCGATAACGACTTCATTGATTTTATATCAGATGATTGTTTGGCCGGTTGTTTCAACACCACCGTAAAATCGTCGAAAACATCAGATCTACCGTCGTATCCCGTATTCTGATTGGTACCCCGTTTATCGTTCTTGATTTCACTTTGATCCATGTTTTTGTTGGAGAAGAAGAAATGTAGAGTAAAATAGAGAGAGAGAGAGAGAGAGAGAGAGAGAGAGAGAGAGAGAGAGAGAGAGAGAGAGAGAGAGAGAGAGAGAGAGAGAGAGAGAGAGAGAGAGAGAGAGAGAGTTTCGAAATCGAAGGTAGCAGAAGAGATAAGAAAGAAGAAGAGGAAGAGAGGGAATATAGAAGAAGAAGAAGAAAGAATAAGAGGAAGAGGAAGAAAGAGATGATACAAGGAAGATAGAGATGGAATAAACTTCCATATCTAGGAAAAAGGAATAATTTGAAATTCAAAAAATTATTGATTTGATTTGAGAAATAGTTAGTTTGAAATTAGAAGGTGTGAATATCAATCCATAAAGTTAATGAAATGCTATAAAGTGGTTTTCAATTCAAAAAATACACTGTTATCATTTAATTGTAGTTGAACTATTAAAACAAAACAAAAGGTGTTAGTATTTTGTACACCAATAAACATAAATATGTTTGAATTAAAATCAATAATACAATTTAGTTACAAAATATAATTTTTATACACAAAATATCCCTAAATTAATGAAATGACCGATCATAAGAAAATGTCAAAATAGTGTTTTCCAGAACATTTAATTTTCTTTTACTACCGATATTACAAATAATATTTCAGAAAGTGAAAAACAAAACTCATTCAAAGTCGCCCTTAGATTTTGGAGGTTGGAGAGTGAACAGCGATGGCCAGGCGAGTCGTGAATCGGGACGAGTCGACATTGACTCGAATTGTTGATTCGGTGTTCGCCTTTGTGAGACACGCTGAGTTTGAGATCCTCTTGTTTCTTTTCTTCTTCATCGCTTACATTCTCTTCAAAGATATCGTAAGTTCTCTCTTTTCATATTTCTGAAGTTAAGCTATAATTTTTCCATTTTTGCACTTGATTAGTGATTAATATATTGGAACCTCACTCGAATTGATGATTTATTGGATAGTTATACCATAAACATTTAGCTTATAAGTCCAAACAAACTTATAATCATATAAATTAGGGTTAGCATAGTCTCTCATGTTTCGATTTTGGAGTGAGTTTCAATAACGGTGTTTGTATCAACTGCAGACATCAAGACCGGAATACAATCAAATGTTTGTGAAGAAGCCTGGCGGTGGACCAGAACTTTGGCCCTTTTAAAGGAATTGATGCGTCCTTGGAGGTATTCTTAGCACGCCCTGTGATGATTTATGCAATGTAATTTTATAGGCAAAAACAGTTGAAACTACCACATATTTGTATGGTGTTATATTCCAGTTAGGTATAGCACAGTCAGTAAAACAAGTTGAGACCATATTTTCTATTTTGTCTCTGTTTCAAATTTGAGGGGATTGTCTCTTCTCTACCAGCATAGAGATACAAGTGCTTATGTATACTCTGTTTTCAAACAAGATGTCTGTTGTTCTTATAAGTTCTCTCATATGGAAATAGTAAGCTATTTTCAAATACACAACTCATGTGGCATATTTGTGTTTTGAGATGCTGACAATCTTAATTAGAATGATAAATAACTCTAAATTTGTGTCATGTCCATAATTTTTTTCTCTCCCCCGGAACAAGCTTTTCTGTCTTCTACTAAAATAACTTTTGAAACCTTTCTAAAAGCTAAAACAAACAATCTAAATGATTTGTTAAGAACATAATTGAAACTTAGATAATGAAACCTAACAAATGCACCTTTAAACCCATCAAAATAGTTTTTGTTCAACCACACTAGTTTTCTCTTCTAGCCATCTCAGAGACTCTTTCTACTGGAACTTTAGTTACATCTTTGCGAAATCCAATATCAGAAGCCAATCTTTCCCAGCTGTATGTTATACAACCAAGTCCAACCACTGCAGGACTATAATAATTAGCCGCGGAGCTGACAGCAGACAAGTAAGATGCAGCTTGTCCACTTCCACCGCCTACAGCAGCCAAGTAAGATGCGGCTTGTCCACTTGCACCACCTACGGACTTGACTGCAGACAAGTAAGATGCAGCTTGTCCACTTACACCACCTACAGACTTGAAAGCAGCAGCCAAGTAAGATGCGGCTTGTCCACTTCCACCACCTACACTGTCATCTGTGATTACTCGGAGACCTGTTTTGCAATAAATTGCAAAATCTTCACAGTTATTCTTGGAGACATGGTAGTCACCAAAACCATTTTCAAGAAGATAAATAGCACGGTAAACAACTTCTTCTGTTGGATCAGAAGAAGCAAGGGTGCATGTACCTCCTCGAGCTTGGACTAGAAAATGCAGTTTATTGACACCATACAGAAAGCGGTGTAGTTCACCTCCAGAAAGGAAACAATCTAAGCAGGATGAGAAGACACCATCATTGGTCGTTGTTTCCCTGCGATCACCGCATATTGGGCATGGAATGATGTTGGTATCAAAAGAAGAAGCTGCACTAGTAAAGAGGCTGAAAGAAGTAGATGCTCCAGTTGGTTGTTGTCTTGCTCTAGTTGTGAAGTGGATTACCATTCTCTCGTTAACATATATTCCTGTTATCTTACAAAAATGCAGTTAGCAGAGCACAAATCTCACTTTAACTTCAGTATTATCTTAATAACTGATAGAATTTGACAAGTTTGAGACATGAAAATATAAATTCATGATGAATAGAAGAAAGAAGAGATGACCATGATGTGCAGAGAGGTAAGCCGTCCTCCAAGAGTAGATGTGATCACCACGTTTCAATTGTTTCCTATCAATCTTATTGGAAATAATTTCCATCTCAATGTGTGTATGCTTTTCCAAGATGAAGAAGGGATGAAGAAATTAAATAAAAGGAACACGAATACAATTTCTGTCTCAAGACCTTTCACTACTGCAGTATTTTTTTTAGGTAAAAGATATTCCATTTATAAGCTAAGTTGATGCATTTATTAATAGCCTTTGGCTTTTCAAGGTGCATCGAATAGCACTTGCTGATATTAATAACTTAGAAGGTAAAAGGGCAATCTATTTTCCATAAGGCTCAAGAATAGAATCGTCATTTTTCTTACCAATAAGAAATAAGTCCTTTTCTTTTTAAGTCTCATTTGGTAAAAATGTAGTGGGTAGTTTATCTTTTTTTAAGTCTTGGTTAGTGAAAAATAACGGATATATTTGATAAATTAATTTTGGGGATTGCTATTCCCACCATTAGTTGGACAACCACCTTTATAAAACTTCAGAATGCCTTTTGTTTGTTTGGATTTTGAAATTTGAATCAATGTTTTAAAACCCAGATCGATGATTGACTCGGTAATGTTACTGGGTCACTGGGTTACTGGTCGGACCAGTGGGTCACTGGTCAGACCGCATGACTTTTGATCCGGTTTCTATAAAAAATATATTCATTACCTGAAATTTGTAACTATAATAATATAGAAAATTATAAATTTAAATAATTTAGAATAAACAAAAGTATTAGTAACAATCAAAATACGTGATAGAAACTTAATGTAGCAAATTATAAATTCAAAGTAATAGAAACTTAACAATTCATAAGTTATAGTATTATAATAAGTCACAAAAATCCATACTCAACGATCCATAATTTTTTATGTCCATGAAGTCAAATTGTCATAATTTTGATATTCATATCCATCTTCAACTTCATTGTCTTCTCCACCAACTTCATCTTCTCTGGTGTTGCTTTTTTCTTGATTCACAGTATCAACAATAATATCTTGTGCATTACCCATATCTCCATCTTCATCCTCATCTAAATCTATTTGATCTATAACAATATTTTAAAAAATAATTAACAAAAAAATTTTAGAGATGGTAAATATGAGACATTAAATTGATTCACAACCACAAACTATATTATGTTCATATTAGAACATACCAATATCACTTGAAACTGGTTGAATGGTCATATTTGCAAGGTCATTCCGCAATGCTTCCAAATCTTTATTGGTTAAGAGAGGTGGTGAATCCTCTAATATCCAACTAGAATGGTCGTCAATTGTTTCAATATTGATAGGATCAAAACTCTCATTTCTTATTTTCCTAAACACACATGAATTAAATCTAAGTATATGTATTTAAATATAAAAATATAATGATCAGAGAAAAATAACCATAATAATACCTATTTTGAAGTCTCAAGTTGTAACGAACAAACACTAAATCATTAAGCTTTTGATGCTCCAATCTATTTCTTTTTTTTGGAATGAATATGCTCAAATATACTCCAATTGCATTCACAACCCGAAGCACTACAAGTTTGGCTTAAAATACGAATAGCTAACCTTTACTAAGTTGGTGTACAAGTGCCATAAGTTTCCCACCATTGATCTGTTTATACCATGTGATTAAATAAATTTATAAACATATTGAAATATAAAATAAAATATATATATCAAGAGTTAGAAGTTATGAAATTACCTTCCCTCACAATACATCGTTCATCCATGGCTGATTTTCTTCCAAAATCTAATTCACTGTCTTTGAATATTCTCATCTCATCTGTTAACTTCAATCGAAGTTCAGAATTTTCATTAGCATGCTTTTCAATGACATCTAAAAGTCCTGATGTTGTGGATGGATGTTTTTAAAATTCTACATCATTATATCTACAAGCTGGATTCAACCAATAACCGACAGCATAAAAATTTTTGTGGAGCTGTGAATCCCAACGGTTATCTAAGATTTTCAAGTAAGGATCGACTTTCTTCTTATTTCTTTGAAACCTCCTCACCATCTCCTCTCTAGCATTCACTATAAAAAATACGCAACACACGCACAAGTGGTTCAGTGAGTTTAACTACATCAGCATATTTACTCTAAAATCCAGAATCTAAAACTTGATCCACAAACTGTTTTGCCTTTGCTTCTTTGGCATATGCTGAGCTTGTCCATTCTTTAGATGTTACCATGGCTCTTAGTGAGTTTTTGTGAGACAAAATACTTTGCAAAGCAATGAAATTAGTGGCAAATCGAGTTGGAGCAGGACGAAGGATTTCTCTTCCACCTGTTTGCTTTCTCATTAAATACAATGCATAACAATGGTTATAAATATATTTGGTAACATTAGAAGCATGTGACATTGTCTCACTTACTTCCTCTAATTTTCCCATGTCTTGCAACATCAAGTTAATGCAATGTGTCGCACAAGGAGACCAAAATAAAGTAGGAAACTCATTTTCTAATAATCTTTCAGCAGCAACATAATTTGCAGCATTATCTGTCACTATGCGAACTATATTTTCAGGCCCAACAAATAAAACCACCTCTCTAAAAAGCTTATACAACATATTTGCAGTTTTTGAAGCATGAGAAGCATAAATGGATTTTAGAAAAATAGTACCTTTGGGATAATAAACTAGAAAGTTTATAAGAGTTCTTCTTTTTCGACCAGTCCATCCATCGGCCATTAGAGTACAACCAGTTTTCTTCCAAATCTCACGATACTCCTCTATCAATTTGTTCACATCTTCAACCCATTTATTTAACAAATAGCCACGAAGACTATGCACACTTGGAACTTTATACCCCTGACTCATGCTGCAAAGTGCATCAGCCATAGATTGAAAATACGCAGAATTAGCTGTATTGAATGATACAGAAGAATCAATGAACCATCTTGCAATAGCTAGATCACATTTCTCCACCAATTCCTTACTTTGTAACACACTTTTTAAAGAAGGTTGAGCTCCAGGAGTTGTTCTAGGCATAAAATAATTACCAATACGACTAGTATTCTTTCTTTTTTGAGACACAATCACCGAATTTGATCTTGATTGTTTTACATCCATTTCTACTACACCACTCTCTTGAGTAGTAAGATCAACATCAAAATTTTGTGCTTGAGCCTTTCTTCTCTTATTTGCACCTTCATCAAGATTTTGTTTCATTTGATATTGAACATCTGGAGGCACCTTTTTACATGTTTCAACTTGACCTTTTATTCCAGCCAAATGGAATTTGAACCTATTAATCCCCACTTCTCTAATAATTTTATCACAGTAAATACACAAATTAACAAGTTTTCCTTTCTCTTCAATTTGTTTACAATGACCCCAAGCTATATCAGTTTTTCCCCTACTGCTCTGGAGTTGGGTTGGATTTTGAGATGTAACTTCTTCCGAAGTTATTACTTCAGCGGGTGATGCCATATCTAATATCAATCAAAATTTAAAAATACAAAACTATATTACAAAAATATTAACAAAACACAATTCTAAACAAAAATTATTGAATTTATAAAAACATTATAAGCAACATTAAATATGTAGCATATCTAAATCCAAAATATATGAATATGTTGTTGTATATTACATATAGGCTACCAAGCATCGTTACCGTGCATTACCATATATAATAAAAAAAATAGAAACTTTGCTTTCCAGCCTTTGCTATATATTTTAGATAATAAAATCCTGAAACTTTTCTTTGTTATATAATTTAAATTAATAAAAAACAGAAAACTTTGTCTTACTATATAATTTAGATTACATAGTTTTAAATCCAATTCCTATCTCCATAATATATACAACGACTATTACAGTATTATATATCTATCCCAATTTCTATCTCCAATATACAACAACTTCATTACGAGTCTATAATAAGTTAATTCATAAAAGTATAAAACTGCTTCATTCATACAAATTCTATCTCAATATTATATGATTGAAGGAGCAGCTTGAAATGGAGATCTCGATATTATATGTACAAAGACAAACTGTCAGATACACCGCTCAGAAGATATCAGACCATAATATTCAACCCACATGCTAGCCACCCAGAGTATAATGAGATGGGGGTCGAAGGGGACAACATCTTTGTGATCCTCGAATGACGTCCATTTGATGTCATCATGATTAGTACGATCAAGATACACCTGGTAAGGCGGCACTTTATGATTCCCTCTGAAGAGGACGTGCTTTGCATCCCCCGGCATGTTGTCAGTATAAGTCGGATCACGCTCGAAACCATGACTGCGGTGGAAGTGAGAGATTATCCAACTCTGAAACATAAATCAAAGAATATCTAAATATAAATTATAAAAAATAAATTAAATGTAATAGTTGAAACGAATGATACTGTGAGGAGTGTGCAAGAGCTAGTGAGGTGCCTCCTCCTCCAGTTTGAAGCTTCGTTCAACTTCTGGTGGAGGTATACCAAAATGGTGGGGGCCCAGTTCTACTCACGAATTGTATTCAAATCTATAAAATATCGGAGGTATGTCACATCTACGTAGGTTGCACTTTTGTCCACAAAGAGGGACGTGCCAACCAAGATCATGAAGTAACACTGCAAAGCACAATCTTGGTGGTACTTAACAAAAACCTCGTCACCCTCATCCTCAGCCCCTACTGCTGTAACCATGTGCTCTTCATATTAGTCTTTCAAGGTGGAGAATTTTGCATGTGACCCGTTAGTTCTTCTACACTCTTCAGCTTCCTGAAATGGATCATCTCCCAGATACTCGACCATTCATTTAATCGCCTCAGCTTGTGGTACCTTGTGATGGTTATGTAACCTCCCTATGATAGGTAGGTGGAGCAAGCAAGTCACGTCATCAAGTGTGATTGTCATCTCCCCAACAGAAAAGTAGAAAGAAGACATCTCCTTATGCCACATCTCGGTAAATGCCCCCTGCATGGCTTATAGTAACATAACCAGTACCACGTAGTTTGACAAGTCCGGATCCAACAACAGCCTCATGGAACCAAGCCGCCGCAAGTATAAATAATTCAAATATTTTCTGCGAGTGGTTCATGGACTTAATGGGCAAT